AGTCCAGCTCATGCGACTCCTCCTCATCATCTACATCAGCGACAACTTCTTCATCTGCTCCCTACCAGACCACCGAGAGCTCGGAAGTTGGCGCGACTCAGTGGCCAGCATGCTAGTGTCCGCGGATGTCTCCAAGCTCATCACTACCATACACGAGTGAAGTCAACTGTCTCAGGCCGACTCCTTTACATTCAACTCGTCCTTGACGTAGTTTTCCAGCCTGTGAATATCATCAAGGTAAGACTGGTCCTCCGCAATCACCCGAATACGCCTGAGGGGCGTCTTGAGACCAACCGTACGGTGGTCGCGCAACTGTACAGACTAATGAAACCAATACTAAGCTGAAACCCCTACCAGACGGCCCATGGTCACAACAGTCTGCACACGGTTGAGGGCAGTCACAATAGCTGGGTCGAGGCCTTGAACGTCGGGGTCAGGCATCATAACCTACAAGCCGAAAATGCAACCATCACCGATAGGAAAGAAATAGACCTACGAAGTGGACGCTCCTCTCCTTCCGAGAATCTCCATCGGGCAGAGCCAGTCGCAAGTTCTGGTAAATTTGTTCAGTGATGAAGGGAGTAATGGGAGCCAGAACGATCGTCAAGTTGAGCATAACCTTAAAAAAAGCATCGCTCCGCCGTCCCAAGATGGAACCAACCTACATCGTAGAGGGTGTTCAGACTCTCCAAAGTGTTTTCCTTATCGACACCACCACGCATACGGTCGCGGTTCATCCGGATATACCAATTTGTGAGGTCGTCCAAGAATGACACCAACCTGAAAGCTCCCCCGATCCCCTCCTGCCGTCCTTTCTGTCACTCACTTGCCAACAATAGTATACAACCTATACGACTCCAGCTCAGTCCTAGTGTACTTGAGGAGCTCCTGTGAGGTGGCGTATATCCAGTGGTCCGTGGGGTTAGTCGACTTGTGAATGCACTGAGACCACCACCACCATCACGGACGGCTCACACTTCGTTAACTCACCGCTCGGTCAGGGACGAATTTGGTATTCTCCTGCTTCTCGAAACGGCAGGTCTCTTGGACCAGGAACCTGTACGCGTTATAGAGGGGTAGGAAAACCTCCTTCACGGTGTCCCGGACACCCTCCTCTCGGAACTTCAGCGGCTCAGCACGGACAACTGGTGAGTTGCACATGTACATTCGAACCTGAACAAGCCCCGTTAGTCCAGGACCATGACCTCCACCACCAGTAACCCTACCGCATCAGCTCCATAACGGTCAAATACCTCCGTCGGGTCAGGGTAGTTCTTCAGGCGCTTAGACATCTTCTTACCATCAGCAGCCAGGATCTGCCACACCCCAATGCTCAATAGCCTTCCAAGCCACGCTCCCTCACCAGTCCGTTAACAATGAGGTTCTTAAAGGCCGGCTGGTTGAAGAGGTGCGTCGCGATGACAGTCATGGTATAGAACCAACCACGAGTCTGGTCAAGGCCCTCAGCGACGAAGTCCGCAGGGAAGTTCTCCTCGAACTTCTCCTTATTCTCGAAGGGATAATGGACTTGGGCGTAGGGCATCGACCCCGACTCGAACCTACGACGATTGCCTCTCGGGCCCCACTCTCGAGCTACTACTCACCAGCAATCGAAAACCTCATCAACCCTATGGAGGTAACCACGACCCGTCTTGCTAGGGATCTTGATATCGTCAATGAAGTGCCTGAGTTCATACTCCACACCAGCAAGAGTAGACCTACTACCTGTGAATGTCCGGTATAGGATGGCCAGCGTACTCCTCCAGCTCAGCAACACTGCCTATGCAGACTATTTCCTGGTAGTCATCCGAGGCCCAAATAGGGATAGGAGTACCCCAGTATCTACTGGGCCGTCCACATCACCCTCCAACCTGAGCTCCTACCTATTCCTAGACACACCCCAGTCACGTGCATCAGCCAACCAGTTCTTAAATCGACCCTCTTGGACGTGGCGTGGTACTGAAAAAACACGGCAGTTCAACAACATCCAATAAAAGGACCACCAAAGGTGGTCGATCAGTAATTTACTAATCAAGCAAGCAATTACATCAGTAATTGCTTGCTTGGACCAGAAGCAATTACCCCAAGTAGACTTCTCGTTGTTAGCAAGCAACTGATCTCGGACCTCTTCAACCTTGATGAACCACGACCCGATTGCACGGTAAATCAGGGGAGTGTCCGAGCGCCAACAATGAGGATAGGAATGGATCTACGCCAACACAAACAGGTGACATACTCTACCACGAGGACGACCACCTTACCTCCATGCCATTATGAAGCAGTAGCCCGCGTTTCTTCATATCTTCCTTGATGTACTTATCAGCTTCCTTCACGTGCATTCCCTTGTATGGTGGTACCTAACCTCACAGGTACAACCGCAAGACGCTGAGAACCCCAAGACCAACCTCCTCAGTGAAGCGACCCGACTCATCAAGAGGGAGGTTCATATCAGTGCCATCCTTAGATATAATACCGTTCTTCACACAGGTCTGGTAATCGTCCTCACCAAAGCCAGGGGACTACAAAAAACAGTGTTGCAATACATGTTTGCTTTCCTCACCTGAGCTCATGTGTGAACGAGTTCCGGTAGAAACCCACGGAAACCAGGAAAAGTTCCCCAAAATTTTTCAAATTTCATATAGTCACCGACACATGTGGTTGACCATGTGCAATTTTAACCACATTGACATAGAAGCAATATGCAGCAGCAATATGCAATAGCATCAAGCAGTGAGACCCAGCCCGACAGGACCCTACCTGGTGGACAAGTCCGGTACCACTATCAACCGTAACGTAGTCAGCAGAAAGGACAGTCCAGGTCTTGCCAGGACGCTCATGTTTCACGAAGAAACTGAAATAGCAATAAAGCCACTAAAAACCCAGATAGAAGCTCCTACTCGAACGGAGGCACATAGGGGATCCCGACAAGTTCCGTTCCAAGAAGGGTCTCCTCAACCTCAACGTCCTTCTTCTCATTCAACTTCAAGCACTTGTATACCCAAGCCGCTCTGTCCTTGGCGAAGATGTACTCAGCACCTGTACACGACGACCAACTGCTTTCCCAACATCATAGGCCTCCATCAACACTACCATTTTTCTTATTGATAACTCTAAGGTACTTGAAACTAGGGTTCACAGAGATGGCCTGGTTGGAAGGAAGTGTCCAAGGTGTGGTAGTCCAAATGAGCAAGTACCTACCAAGTGACCTAACCCTACCCTACTGCCCCCTTCCCTACGAGTTCTCCTTGTCCTTGCGAGGGAAGGCCACAATGATAGAGGGATCACTCACATCCTTATAACCTTGAGCAACCTAATCCAACACACATCACATCAACGACCCCTCAGACCGTTACCTCAAAATTCGACAGGGGCGTGCAAAGAGCAGTCGAATAAGGCATAACGCGGAAGGCTCTATAGACCAGGCCCTTGTCGAAGAGTTGCTTGAATACCCACCACACCTAAAGAGCAAATCTCCTCTCACACTCCCAACAGCATTAGCTTACGGTCTCCATGAAATTGCGATCCATAGTTTTGTAATCATTGTCAAAGTCGATCCACCTTCCAAATCGTGTAACGATCTCTCTCCACTCCTTAGTGTAGCGTGTGACGATCGACCGACATGCTTCATTGTAGCTACCAATAGAACGACATCCGCGCCACACTCCTCGACTCAGTTCATTACTTGGCAATTCCCCACTTCATAACATCAGACTTCGAACCTATGTTGTGGTCCTTATCGATCTCATGCTCCACTGGAAGGCCATGACAGTCCCAACCAAACCTTCTCTCAACGTGGTGACCGGTCTGGTGGGCGTACCGAGTCACGACGTCCTTGATGGTACCTGAAGGCTCTCCATAGCTCAACAAACCTTCCCCTTTTCTTCCCCTACCAGCAAGGATGTGGCCATAATGAGGAAGGCCAGTGGCGAACGGGGGACCATCGTAGAAAACATACTCGGGTTTGCCTTCACTCATCTTGTTGGACGTGTGAAAGGCGTCAATCTCATCCCAGAAGGCGAGGACCTTCTCCTCCTCCTTGGGAAAAGACGGCTTCTCCACAACAGGCTCGAACGTATACCTACTGCTGCCGTTACCAAACCACTAGAGGGACTGCCACCACCACCACCACTACTTCATATCGATATGTTTTTGTTTCCGATTTGACTGTGTTATCAGAGTTCTAGATATTCCAAGCTGAGAGCGGCGACCAGAGTAGTGCAGGGAGCCAAGCGAGGAACGACGCGAAAAACAACTAACAGCCATACAGCTTGTACCCTACTCACAGTCGTATCAAGACGATCACTCGCTACGCCGACTCGATCGATCGCACTGCATACCGCGCGCGCCACAAAATTAACAAACGGCCATCTAACTCCTGCAGGAGGTTGAATGTCATGCCCTGGAAGTTGCTCCTTCTCCCGTTTACGATTAACCCCAATGGCAGTTCTGAGCTGTGGTCTGCGACCTCAACTTCCCGTGAAAAAGTAGATTTTCCACGTACACCTTATTCATTTCCTTACTTGCCACCACCGATACGCTAGTACTATAACAACTACAACACTCAACAACAACTTTTACTGTGAAAAGGGAGAAGAATAGACGTACCGTGTACAGAGACCAGGTACACAGATAAGGAAACGTAGCGAGGTGATGTTACTACTGATGCCTTTACCAATACCTCAGCTGTCGATAATGTCACATGATGAATACGACAATTGTAAAACCAACAGCACACTATGCTCCAGCAATAGTCACAAACACCCCTGAGGTAATCAACACATCTTTACTCTTATCAACTATACGTGTTTAATCAGAGTCGGAGTCGTCGTCATCGGC